AGAGTCCAAAAAATTATTATACTAGCAGTTTCCTTTTTGGGAAGCTATTGGGTTACATGATTATGAGCAACACTGATCCCCATTGCTCTTACTGCTCACAGGTATCAGGACTAGTTCAAGCACATCTTCAATGATCTGTCTAATTCTCAGCTTCAGTGGTCCCAAACTATCATATGAATCCCATCATATTTTAACCTCTCACTGCTTCACAATCTTAGTTTAGTTCCCTTTTTCTCAACATAAAATGTTAGTAATGGTTGAAAAGGAACTAAAAATGACCTGTTTTCTTTTGAAACCTGTCCTGGGCACCTCAGACTCCTGTAATGTCTTTCCATCTCTCCTGTAACTACACACACACACATACACACACACACACACACACACACACACACACACACCACACCAATTGAACAGGCACATGTTCATGCTATGTGACTAGGTTTTATTCTATGTATAGTTCCTCCATTACTACTTCTCTATTTCAAGCAGTTGGAAAATATTGATAAGCTTCTTTTTTTAATCTTCATTCGTTACTTGTGAATAGTAAGATCTACATTCATATCTGCTGGTTAGTAGTTTATATTATATTCTGCTAATGAAATTTCACTGAAAAAAATTGACATGTATAATATTAAACATTTTTAAGGCATACTCCTTACTATATAACTTTTAAAAAAGTAAACAAAAATTCCTTCAGCTTTTGAACTAAACATTGGATTGCTCATATTAAAACACCATTAGAGCACGAACAGAAACCAATAACTCAAGCTTAGGGCAGTAATTAACCATATGTATCCTGGCTTTGAGTCTGTCCTAATAGTGTGCGGTGACAATTAAAATTAAATTTTACAAGAAGATCATGAGTCATTTAGTGAAATTAATGTATTATAGAATTATCATTAGGTAGCAACAGGAGACCATTATGAGGCATCAAAATTCCATTGGAAGCACATTACAATGTTCTCAGAGCTGCAGAGTCAGATGGATACAGGGCTGTTTGGGGGTGTTTTTCTCTTCTTTTGTACATTCAAAATTGTTCTGCTTTTGTGTGGAAATGTCACAGCCCAGTGAACATCCAAGATTACTGCCTGAGACGGTGAGGGCTAGTTCAGGGTTCAGTTTTCAAAACTGAAAATACGTGTTCTATACCATTTTTTATCCAATGCAAAAATGAGTAAGTGTGTATGTGGGTTAATGCAATACCTTTTCAGGAGTCACTGGGGGAAATGGTAACATAAAGAAAGAAGAAAATAAAAATTAACTACAAATTGATAACCTTATTCATATTTACTCATGTTTTTATTTATATACTGTCTGAACTCTCTGCCTTTAAATCTAGATAAGAAAGTGTGAATGATAATTTCCGCAGATAATTGAATATCTGCTTCATCTGAACAGTCATTATATGAGAGAATCTGTTTTAAACAATATGGTGTTTCAGAGTGGGGACCATAATGGAGTCAGTGATGGGCTTAAACCTCATGACTGGATTCTTGTTCACTGTCTATTTCTCCCTGTGTATGGAGAGTCTCCCATGACAGCAATTAAACTTTGTCACCTACACATCTGGTGTTTCCACATCTTAGACTCTTTTTGAGTCCCCTAATCTACAACAAACATGGTATAGAAAAACCTTAATGCTGAAGGATGTTTTGTTTATGATAAATATGGTGCATCATGTTCCCACTTCCTATTTTTAATTACATAATGACTGTTCTGAAGAAGATTCCCAGTCTCCCTTTGTCCCTCTTGCCAATGCCCATCCTCTGTGTGCCTCTCTAGGCATCATTATGATGTTTCCACACCAGCCTCTAGTGTAGACTTCTGTTACCTTTCTTGGTGGCTCGTAGTAACCATCAGAGTCCTGTGCCCAGCTCTCACAGGATCTGTCATACTCTGTCAGTGTCTATCTCCTAGCACCCACCATCTCATTTATTACCCATATAAAAGAGTGTGCCCATTTGCTTAGAATGGATAAAGGGAGGCCACAATGTGCCACTCTACCTTCAGTACTGGTAGCAGCCATGACTCAGGGTTCAGCATATGATTTTTCCAGCATCAATGACTTTTTAGGAGTATAGTTCTGGTACAAGTGTTTGTAGCCTCCTTCAGTGTACCCTGATATTCGTCACCTGCTTCCCAAGCAGTAGTTGGTCTAATGACTATCCCTTTTTTGGGTACTTTCATCCTACATTTGTCCTTACCTCACTGTTAGTACCACCTGAATGTACTAGAACTATTTATGTGTGTATGTGTTTATTGATTATGTATATAGTGTATGCAGGTGTATATGTGGGTGTATATGTCCCTATGGGCACTGCAGAAGGCAGTGAGGACACTGAGTGTTCTCTGCCGGCAATCTCCATCTTATCCCCCCAAGGCACTGTCTCCCACAGAACTTGGAGCTGGGCTGGCAGCCAGTGAGCCCCAGTGATCTTTCTGTCTCTGCTCCCCATACAGCTGGGATCCAGGTGCATTGTGGCCACATCTGGCTTGTGATATGGTTGCTGGTGATTCAAAGTGAGGGCCATGTGTTTATGTAGTGTCCTTACCCACTGAGCCACCTCCCCAGACCCTTAGGAAACTATTTCTATCCAAGTCTTCTGTCACCTGTGATTTCCTTGTATAATCTACATGTGGTACTTGACACTAGAGTTGGTGTGAGGGAGTGGAACCCTCACATGGATGGCCTCACATCTGCTCTCTAGTTTGCAATGGTAGCATCTTTGACATCACAATGGTTCAGGTTCTCCCTTGTGGTGAGTTGGAGTGGAAGGAAAATATAAAGTACACTCTCGCCTGGATTGGAGACAAGTGAAAGAAAATGACAATGACCATGGAGTTGGTAGTCATAGTATTGTCAGAGCTATGAAAGAAGAAAGGGCTGGTTCAAACTAGCTAATCAAACTCTCAGGATCTGGGGTGGGAGGTGGCTCAGTGTTTAAGTACTTGTGTGGAAGTGAGAGGACCAGAGTTTAGATTCTCAGAATTCATATAAATGACAGGTGGGTATGGTGATAATTCCAACCTTGGAGATGGAGATAAGGGATGCTCAGAGCAAGCTAGCTGTGGAGACTAGATTATCAGTCTTCTCTGGATTTGACTGAGTCTGCCACACTGAATAAAATGGAAGAGCAATCCGGGGTGTTTGCTTACATCAACTTCAACCCAGACGTCCACATGCAAGCACACTCACATGTGCCTACATACATGCACAAATATACATATCACACACACACACACACACACACACACACACACACACACACACACACACACACACATGAAAATGAGGGGAAAAAAATCTCACGGCCTGATGTGACAGCCTCAAGCCATTTAAAGAAAACACCTTCCACAATCAGAGAAGATTCCATTAAAAACTAGACTATGTTTGGTTAAGAAGTAGCAAAATTCTAGAAAATGCTTATTTGGAGAACCAACCAGACTCCTTTGAGAAAATGAGCATAAAGAGACATAGAACAGGGCCTGACACCTAGATATGAGGTGATGTGTAATCCTAATTAGTTTCATCAATAAAAACCCAGAGTCAGATATCGAGGGTGAAAGCTGAAAGATCAGAGAAGCAGAGCAGCAGCCACTAGAAAATTCTTACCTCTACAAATCCTCTGACTGAATGCCTACCAAGATCCTGTCTCCACCTGCCTTATATTTCTGTCTCCACCTCCCTAGTGCTGGGATCAAAGACATGCACCACCACTCCCTGGCTCTGTTTCTCTTTTAGACTAGTTCAATTTCATGTAGCCCAGAGTGACCTTGAATTCCTGATCTTCTTGCTTCTTCCAAGTGCTGGGATTAAAGGTGTGTGCTACCACTGCCTGGCTTCTATGGTTAACAAGTGGTTAGCTCTGCCCTTTGATCTCCAGAAAAAGCTTTATTTGTCAGAACACAAACAAAATAACATTGAGGTCTGGGTGACTGACTTTCATTCATTGTTGGGTACTGGGGCTCGACTAAATGTTCTCTCATGGTCCTTTTGTTGAAAGATTGTCCCCACTACTGGAAGATGGTGGACTCTTTGAAATGTGGAGCCTTGTGGGAGATTCTTGTGTCCTTTGGAGCATGCTCTTAGAAGGTATTTCTTCCTGTTCCTGGATCCAGACATGGGCAGAGAGCTCAGCTGTACAACTGTGTGGTGGTGTTTGTCCTCACCAGAGGCCCCCATCAATGGACTGCTTGATCTCAGTGAAACTGAACTAAATAAGCATCCTGTTTATAATGTTAGTTGTCTCAGATGTTTCCCAGGAGGATGCCTCTAGAGGACACCTCCATGCTTCTTCTGCTGGAGGAGCTTCAGAGGATACTATCTGCCTCTGGACATCTCTTGCCTTGTGGCTTCCAAACCACAAGATGTGCTGGAGATTAGGCACAGACCAAGTGTGAGAACCTGGCTATACCTTAAGAGAAATGAGACATTTCGCCAAAAGCAACCACAGAGCTGAGGCTATTTCTCAGTGGATGAACGTTCCACTAATGTGCACAAAGCCGTGGGCTCTTCTCTAGCACCGAAGATAAATACTGCAGAAAATGACTGTCATGTCCACACAGGAAGGAGAGGAAGTGTAAATTAATCCTAGAGCATGCAGGAATACACACAAAGTGTAGAGTCTAAAGACAGATTTATAATGTCAAATAAATTCACATCTAATGATCTATATTTTGTATTGGGAAGGACCCTCAGCCAAACCTAATGGCATACTGAAATACACAGTTTTCTAGACATATTCATTTTTTTTTCAGAAAATAAAATTATATGGGTTAAGTCATAGAGGAGTACTCTAACACTAACTCATGTTTAAATTACATATCATTAAATATGACAAATAACAATCAAGTACAGGATCTGACTATGAAATGGTCACGAAGAGTACCCAAAGAGTCAGTTACTAGATCACCTGAGCTGCATCTCTCTTCAAAATTACAATGTAAGAAATGAGGTCCATCCACACACCATTTAAGCTAAATGATTACCCTTCACTTACCCTCACTTGACCCACGAAGGCATTGGCCTCTTCCTCCAGCACGGAGAGATTCCTGGGCAGATAGGGATCGAACACAGGAGCATTGTCATTGACGTCTGTCACCACCACGTTCACAGTGGCAGTGGAGGTCTTAAAGGAAGAGAGAAGAAGATTGTGAGAGGCAAGAGGAGCTGTTGTCATTGGGGATTTAGCCAAGTGTCTACAGTGGGTTTTCTCTGTTTGAAAGGCATCTTGGTCCGTAGCTTTCCAAAGAAAAAAGACATAGAACATAAAAGAATCAGCTTGAAAGCCTCAAACAACTGAAAAAAAAAATGGAGAAAGCCAATGCTATTAAAGTGCACATCTTCCTGAGAATGTCAAGTATTTCCTGGAGGCTTACCTTTCAGGTGATGCCACCTTTATTTAATTCACATTATAGGGAGTGAGCATTTGTTTATACACACAGGCACCCTTTTATCCATAGATATACTAATATATACATATATCCATATATACTAATATACATATATATATATCCATATATACTAATCCTGTAGTTTTCATCACTTGTGTATTTCACTGTATAACTATAACTATATATATATTTATATATACTATCAAATAGTATGGTATATAAATAAATATTTTCAGGCAAAGTAATACTGTCAGAATATATTACCTTAGTAAGTTTCAATGTTTATATTTAAACCAAGAATTTGAGCCTCATAATGCTGATGATGATTTTATTAAATAATTATTGAAATTGCTGTGTTTAGGTCCCCAGACAATGACATTAGTGTCAGGTAATCTACCCATTTTTGTGGATGCTCTTTTCTTACAGGGACATCTTGGCTTAGTGAACCAGAAAATGTTTATAGAGGTCTTGGCATCAGTAAGTTTATCATCATGTGTGACTTGAGCGTGAGCCTCCATCTAACCTTGGCCTCTTCCTCATCTCTGTCTCAGTGTGGGGTGGGTTACAGGAGGCATAGAGCAAACACAGAAGGAAAGAACCCTAACTTACAAGGGGAAGCATACAGTATGCTATGATATTAAAATGCTCAATTATAGGCCACTGAAATATAAGAGGAAAAGAGAGAACAGAAATCCCATGAGAGATTGGTACAGAATTTGTTTAAGAAAATACAAACACATTGAGCCCTGCACACCAGAGAAAAAGAGTTTCTACTAACCTGTATGCAATTTGCAATGAGACTAGGCACAGAGCATGAACTGTAGTGGGTGACTCAATAGAGTCTGTGTGGCAGTCAACAAGTAGAAAGAGACCAAGTAGGGTTTCTCAGCTGCCAGAATGGAATGGCCTGGTAAATGTCTGTGCGTTCTGCTGAAAACAATGTAGCTCCTCACTTGACTGCAGGAGTAATGATGCCTTACCTCAGATTCAGTCCCAGCTTCCAAGACTTCTATTTTAAACTCTCTCTGCTTTAACAAAATCAAGAGCAATCTTCCATGTAATTTTATCCTAAACCTCCATGTCTGTTATATAACATGTTCAGCTGTCATTAAAGCTCACCATGCATCACAGAGAGATGCTGGCCATGGGTGGCTTGTTTATTTGAGTCCATTGATGGCTTACCCTTCCATAATTTAGAGCTACATGTACATGATTTATATGTATTTAATGTTCAACCAAACTTTGATTTAAAGACATGAGGACAGTCACAACAGCATTTTGCAGCCCATATCTGGAAACTAACCAATGCCCATCTATAGCAGATATTTATAGGCTGTTTATGCATATGATGACCCAATGTCATGAACAATACTGTAGTATAGTTCTGGAACATATGGTTGAGGGACAGAAGTCACACACGATCACATGTAGTTACAGGATTTCACTGACATCATCGAGAGCCCTATACACTGAAAGGAGTCAACACAGGGCAGTAAGAAGGAGAGCTGGAGGAAGTCCTACATCACACAAGGGTTAGATAAGTGCCCAAGGGTGGGATAACTTGTTTCTTGCAGTGGGCTATGCTTACATATGCTTTCCTACTGCAGAAATCCATCAAACCTTCCAGGTATGGTTTGTGTGCTCTACTCTGTATACATTTCCAATGAAATGGTTTAATTTCAAAGATGCAAACAAACAAATACACATGTGTGTACACATACTGTGGATTTATAGAAAGAAATTAAAATGTTTTCTGAGTAGATGGAGTGCAGGTGTTTTATTTTTCCCTTGTAACATTTATATATTTCTCAAATGTTCTCCCAGAAAGCTACACTGCTTGTATAACAGAAAAAATATTTTAACAAATGTTATTTCTTTTCAAGTTGTGTTAGAAATGAATCCAGGTTTTTTAAAAAATGTGTTTTATAGCAGCAGTATTTCCCAATTTGCCTGAGGGTGAACATGGTATTAAATTTAGCAGTTGAAGCTAAGACCTCAGAGTGACTGCACTAGAGTCCCTGATATTTCTTCAAGCTCCCTGGACACCTTTATGTCCACCTCTGCCTTTCCTATTCATCTGTTATGTTTTTAGAGTCTCCTCCATCCCATGGAGGAGTAGGCTTGCAGACTATCTTGGATCCACTGTCAAAGACTGTGACCTGTGGCTGGTTGATACACAGGGGAACTGAGTCATCGCTGAGTGGAGGACCCACTGATGGGAGCTTGGGCATACTTTCCCACGTTCTGAGTTTTGCAGGAAACGACAGGAAAACACATTGCTGAGTAAGTTGTAGCTTATACGTTTCTTAAGAAAGGGACAACTCTCCTGTCAAAGTGGTGCAAGGGTCAGTACTGCACATGATTCTGGCTACACTTTACATCCACTGGCCACACTCTTCTGACCATGTTGATATAGTCACAGACTGCCTGGCTACAGGGCATGATAGTTTCAGTTTTTAGATTGGTCAGGAAGATGGTCACTCTATATGATTCAACATAGATCATGTTTCACACTAAGGACAGATTCTAGGTTTTAAAAGTTAATTACCAAGAAATGAACACAGTCTGTGCTAATAAAGGTACGATAAAAGGACCATTTTCACAATTAATTCTGTAAGTCAATTTGTCATATGACAATTAACAAATATCAAACCAATAAACCTAATAAATAGATAACTATTCTTACTGAGAAATTTGCTTATTATTTTCTTTGAAGTTGCATTGCTTATAATCCTACTAGTTAGAAATTCTATTTTAGTACTAAATTCTATCATTGATCACCTTTAGTCTTTACCCACTTTGATTACCTCTGTGATTTTATTTCCAATAACGGATGTTAAAATATTCTGTTCTCAACTAATGCAAGTAGATGTTTCCATAGCAGCATAAAATTATTTTCTTTGACTGTGATGGCTCTTAATTAGGTATTTGTGTAGCATCCTTGGTTTTCTATAGTTTTCATGGTCTAGGAAGCAATATACAATCATTCATACAAAGAAATTCTTGATTAGAAAATATTACAGTTGAAGGTATATTATTTCTGTTGTCTTTTATATCATAAACTTTGTAGAGCCTATCAAGTTAATTTCTTAAACTGTTAGAAACTAGTTTGGAAGTAGAAGATAATTAAGATGTCCAAAATTTAAGTGCATTAATTGGTAAAATGAATGATGATGCTTTTTTAGTGATGTAAGTTCTACAAGAATATATTTATTTATAAACATATAATAAGAGAATAAGTGGGGAAACACATGGACCCAGTGTTGTGGACATGCTAGGCAAAGACTATACCATAGAGCTACTAACCTGGCCCTCCAGGCTTCTTATCAGGGTGTGAATCCGATATGAAGGGATATGGGGAGGAACTGGGAGGTGAAGAGGGAGGGGAAACCTTAACCAGGATATATATTACATGAGAAAAAAATCTTACTTTTAATAAAAGAAAAAAGAAAAAGAAGTGAAATATTCTTAAATTAAATTTAGACATAAATGAAAATTAAAATATTTTAAAATACATCCTGGACATTTAATTCAGAATCTACAAATAACTCAAAAACAAAAAAGAAACAAGATTACAAATTACCCAAGTAAAAATGGGCTAAGAAGGAAGGAGGGTTGGAGATTTGGCTCAGTGTTGAAGAGTATTTAATATTGCAGAGGGCCCAGGTTTGATTCCTAGCCTAGCACCTACATGGTGATTCACAACTGTAGCTCCAGTCCTAAAGGACCTGGTACTCTATTCTGACCTCTGTACGTATCAAGAATATATATGTGGTGCACATACATACATGTAGATAAAACACTCATGCACATAAAAATAATAAAAAAATTAAAAAATAGAAAAATTTGGGCTATGGCTCTAAACAGAGAGCTCTCAAAAGAAGGTATAAAAATGGTTGAGAAATATCTCCAAAGTTATCCAACATCCTTTAGCAATTAAGGAAATGCAAATTGACATTCCTTTGAGATGTCATCTCACCCCAATCAGAAGGGCCAAGATGAAGGAAAGAGCTGAAATCAAATGCTGGTAAGGAAGTGATTAAAAGGGACCTCCTTTCACTGGTGTGGAGAATCCTCAAAAAGCAGAAAGTAAATCTACTATACAACCCAGCTATACCACTCCTTGGCATATGCCCAAAGGATCAACATCCTACTTCACAAATGCGTAATCAGCCATATTCATTGTTGCCTTTTCTACAACAGCTAGGAAATAAGTGGAAGCAACCTAAATGTCCTTCAATTGATGAATGGGTAATAAAAATACACATAGACACGATGGATACTATTCAGCTGTTAAAAAAAAAAAAGAAATCATAAACATTTCAGGTAAGGGTGTAGAACTGGAAACACAGACTGAGAAAACAAAGGACTTCTTATTTGTAATTCCCAACTCTGAACCTTAAGATGTACTTATATAGCCTGAAGCAAGTGCAGATATCAGGAAAACAAAAGGAGACCACTGGGGCAATGTGGAAGCCCACAAAGGTGTCCTAGTGAGATCTGAACATCCTTCACCCAGCAGGGCTGCATTAGAGGATTGCTTGACCATGTGTGTGGTTACCAGGTGATTGGAAGGGTCTGCACTTGGCTGTGCTAGGGGGAGGTCTTTTGCTCCACCCCTTGGCATTCCTATAAAAGGCCCTTTAGATGAGACTGAAGGGGCCTGTGGATAAGGATAAGCTGGTGCAGGCCCTCCCGAGGTTATCCTATGTTTCTGTTTCTCTCCCCTCTATCC